TTTATTTATGCACACAAGCATTACACTACGCACACATATATGGAAAAGTGGATTGAGCATAATTGAATAGTTCTAATTATAAATAATAAATACTTTAATCAAAGGAAATATCCTATGCCTGATATCTACAAAGATAAATTGCTATCGATATAAATTTTTTTACTTGGTTTAATTTCTTTATTATTAAAATTTTCAAACCTTGAAACGATTCCTCTCGTATCAATAAGTTTAGAAATATATATAATATTTTTATGTTTTGGTTGAGTAATTGGTAATTCTTTGATTAATTTATCAGCTTCTAAAAATTGATCTTCTTTTTGTCAAAGTTAATAACTTCCATATAATTATAATTACTATCATCGGCGACTATGTTTTTTTGCCATTTTTTAAGTATATTAAAAATCTCAACAGCTGTAGGTCTCTTTTTCACATCTGAATCAATACATTGTTTGGCTAATTCAACATAACATTTTGGTGTTCCTATATTAAATTCGGCCGCAACCCATGACAAATCCTTGCTGCTAATTCAACATCAAATTTGCAACCATCAAAAGGCCTTCGTCCAGTTGATATTTCTATCATAATAATTCCAAAACTGTAAACATCAGCAGATTGTGTGAAATGCTGCTTTCTTTTTAAGATTTCCGGTGCTATATATGGCAAAACTCCATAAATACTACCATCTTGTTTTTCATCAAACGGTATTGATAAACCTAAATCAGAAATATAGGCTTCATATCCTTCTTTTAATAAAATATTGCCAGAATGTGAATCTCGGTGTATAAATTTTTTGGAATGAATATTTGATAGATTGTTAATGATATCGCATAATATTCTTAGTTTTATTTTCCACCCCAATTTAAATATATCTTTAAGATTTTCACGTAATGATCCAAATTTTGCATAACTTAGCACCAAAATAAAAATCACCTATATTTTTATCTATTGATATGCCATAATATTTACCAAATTCATGATATGCCTTTAACTAAAAAAAAAATTACAATTAAACTCTTAATCAAATAAATTTACGTGTAAAAAAAAAGATTACCTCGTTTAAAAAAAGTTTTTTATTTTTGTGTGAATCTTTTATTATCTTGATTGCAACTTCTTCATCTATTCCATATGATGTTTTATATGATGTTTTATACACCGTGGAAAATCCTCCTCTACCTATTTCTTCAATATTTCTAAAATTATTGTAGTTTATCCAACGGAAATAGTTGCGATGATAATCACATTCACGTTCAGTAACAGCTGATTTTAAATACCATTCAAAAGCTAAACCTTTATTCTTATCTACACCAATCCCTTCCTGATAACACAAACCAACATGATGCATTCCACAACAAATCCCATATTTAGCACTTTTTAAATAATATTTAAAGGCCTTTTGTTCATCTTTTTCAACCCCAATTCCATATTGATAACAATATCCAACATTATATGTTCCAATAGCGTGCCCCATCTTTGCAGATTTTTGATAATAAATGAACGCTTTACGCTCATCCTTTTTAACTCCAATTCCATATTGATAAAAATGTCCAACATTATTCATTCCACTTGCGTTTCCCATATTTGCAGATTTTTGGCAATGAATGAATGCTTTATTTTTGTCCTTTTTAACTTCAATTCCATATCGATGACAATATCCAACATAATATGTTCCACTAGCGTCCCCCATCTCTGCAGATTTTTGGTAATAAATGGATACCTTATGTTCATCCTTTTCGACCCATTTACCATAACGATGACAACTTGCAAGAATGATTTGAGCCATAGGATCGGGTTGATTGTCTAAGCAATAGTTGATAATATTCTCTGGATTTCGCTTCTTTAGAAATTGTTCTAATACGTCAAGAATTGAATCAGAATTCTTGCCTTTCATTCTTTCTTCATTATATAGAACGTACATTTCTTTAATAGTTTCATTACGGCAATCCTGTGATTTGTTATCTTCTAAATGCAATTGGATAACTTTGTTGGATTATTTAATGGATTAACGATTTTTTCTGACTGTTTTAGAATTGAGCGATGAAAAGGCCGTTTTATAATTGACATTTTAACGTAATGAAAGAACATGTACTTGCATATATATAGGCTTATCAAATTTATTGATGATATGTGTATTGTATTGCGTAACGTTCATTCATATCGTAATACCTTTCAATAAGTATATAATATTGATCATGCATGGATTAATATCGCAAAATTTGTCCAATTGGCAAATGATTGGCTGACAGTGCCGCGTAGTGGCACATGCCAGCCAATCATTTACACAATTTTACGACTCAATATTTGTGTTATCCGATAATTCATGATCATGATTCTCAAGTCGTGATTTGCTAACTGAGTTTTATTCGAATAAATATGATTACGACATAACACCCCAAACAATAACAAAAAGAAATAAATCTATGATCATAAGAGTTTGCCGGATAACTGGTTAATATTTACTGTATTACCTGATTAAAAATTTTTAAATAGATACGTTTAAAACTAAGTTAACGCTTCTAGGTTTTTAACAGCCTAATTCTTTCCCTTTCTACTATAGTCTTTTTAACTTAGGCTTTCTTTTAACATCAATTTCTCCCTAACTTCTTGCGTCCATCACCTTTTTACCCAATATTACAAACGGACATTTAATTAATACAAAATAACACTCAATTTAACACAAATTGACATTCAATTCACGTAGTACAAAAGGATAGATCATCTGAGTAGTTGACCGGGTCAGTCCACAATTGCTTAGAACAAACTCGGATTTTGCTAACTAATTAGCCTCAGCAATTTCACTGGAATATTAATTGCATGATGATCCCTAGCCTTCATTAAATGTCAGGATGATACTGAAATTTTGATTTATTTTATTATAAATTTTTTGGAGTTTTTTTTTTGAGAGCATTAATCATGATTAATCTGATTAATCTGTTTCTTTGAATTTCCTATTGCTATACTGATTATACTAATTGTCGATTCGTTTCATGTGAATTCAAGTTCACAGGAAGTTCTCTGGAATTTCACATTTTGCATAACTTTCCCTTCACGTTCAGAATTTAGATGCAATTAAATTTCCATAACTTTTTGATCACGGTACATTATAAAGGAACAGTATCGCACAACAGTATTACGTACGTACGTACGTACGTACGTTGTGAAAGGGTAGATCGTTGCTTGTAATAGGTTTTTCTATATTTGGTGGATCGAATGCATATTTGGCTTAGCCAAGTTGGCGCATTTTGTACATTTTGAACATATGGCACAAATGGAACATATGGAACATATGGAACATATGGAACATATGCCACATATTTCATATAGTGAACATAGTGAACATGTTCTACATAGTGAACATAGCGAACATATGCAACATAGTTAACATAGCGAACATAGTGCTTATGTACCAATAATTGTAAAAAGGTATAAAATACCCACCCTTACGCTCTAATAAAGATTAACTCAGTGAGTTCGACAGCTCGGTAGAGTTCAAAGTTCTAAGTCAAAGAAATCAGAGTATTTGACTTGTGATTCGCTCGTATATATAAAACTCAAGGGAGTTCGAAGCTCCAAGTTAAAGAAATTAGAGTATTTAACTTGTGATCCGTGATAAACTCAGTTGGAGTTTAGCATCGAGAACGTTTGTTCTACTAATTCCTCCGATAAATAAATTCTGCATTTGACGGAAGGAATTCGTGACCAAATCCCGTGACTCTGTGTAAAGAAAAAAGGGGAATCTTAACCTATACCCTGGGGTACAGAGTTTTAACCTATATCTATCACGTGATTATTCTAAAAATATTCATTGGCCTATTTACAAGAATTTTGATTTATACACGTTTATTTCTTTACTCTATATATTGTTGCTATTATATAGTAATCTAAAAAATTATGACACAAGAAGATTTTGATTCAACTGCTTCTGAAAGTTCTGACTATAGTTTTGAACAATCTTTAGAAAATAGAATAGAACTTAAGGAAGGTGATTCCTATACTTCTCATGATGCTTTTGTTATAGCAGTTAAAACTTATGCAAAACAGCAAGGTTTTAAGGTTCGTCTAGGAAAATATGAAAAAAATGCAGCAGGAGAAATTCGTAAAAGAACAATAGTATGCAGTCGAGAAGGTACTTCTGGTTCTAGTAAAAAAATTAGAAATAGATTATCACAACGATGTAACTGTAAATTTTCAGTTCGTGCTTCATGTAATTCAGATAATGGTCTTTGGTATATAATTTTATCAAAATTAGAGCATAGTCATTCAATGGTTTTAGCTGATCATCAACGGTTTACATCTGAAGAGAGATCAATTCCATTAGAAGTACAACAAAAAATTATGCTTCTTCGACGTGCTGGATGTAATATTCCAACAATTTGTGCAATTTTAAAGGAAGAATTTGATGGTATTATTACATGGATGTATAATGATTTATATAATTTTATATATCAACAAGAGGAAACAGAAGAAAAACGGGAGTTAGATGCTAATAATTTTGTAGAAATTTTAAGACAACTAAAATCTCAAGATAACGAATTTCAATATGAAATAAAGATTAATTCTGAAACAAATGAATTAGAGCAAGCAATTTGGATGTTCCCAGAGCAACGAATGAATTATTGTAGATTTTACGATGTAGTTGTTTTTGATAATACATATAAAACAAACAGATTTAAAATGCCCTTTGGAATTTTTACTGGTGTCAATAATTACGGGCAAAGTATATGTTTTGCTGGAACTTTAATGCTTAATGAAAGTGCAGATAGTTTTAGTTGGGTATTTAGTACATTTTTAAAAATAGTAAATAATTATGCACCAAAAGTACTTCTTACTGATGAAGATTCGGCAATTATTAAAGCAGTCGATCAAATTTTTCAACCTTTTGGAACAAAACATGCTCTATGTTTGTGGCATCTTCTTAAAAATGTAATGAAAAATTTAAATGGAATATTAGAATCTGATTGGGCAACATTTATTAAGACTTTTTATAAGTGTCTTGATGAATACGAAGAAGATAACTTCATGAAAAAATGGGAACAATTAAAGGCAGATTATCCTAAAGCGGTTAAATATTTACTAAAAATGGACAAAAATCTAAAACGTTGGGCTCCATGTTATAATAGACAAATATTTATGGCTGATATGACAACGACTCAAAGAGGAGAGTCTATGAATAATCTTATGAAAGGATATATGGATGCAATGACTTCTCTAACAGTTTTTTTAAAAGCTTTTGAATCAGCATTAGAACAAAGACAAGAAGCTGCTGAGTTTATAAAGTATCAAGAAAACAATGAAATTATTAACTTAGTAACTTCGAGTCCATATGAAAAACAAGTTAACAAAATATGCATTCAAAAAAACTCAACAACAATTATTAGAATTTATGACATATAAATGCGAGACAATTAATAAGTAAGTTGTTTAAAATTAAAAATCATAATTAAAATAACTAACTTAAATTAAAATATTTTTAGCAACAGTATTGAAATTACTTTTCAAGTAGAACACTTTCAAAGCCAATCACATAATCGTATTGTTAAATATAATTTAACAAATCATCAATTTTCTTGTTCATGTTATTTTACTATTTTTAGCGGCATTATTTGTAGGCATATTTTTAAAGTTGCCTCACAACTTAATTTAGAAGAGCTTC